ACGGTTCATTTACTCAGTTCACTGGAATCTTCATCACCTTTCCTAGCGCCAACGATGTTTACGTGAAAACATCGTTTGTAGGCTGTACCTACTCTAGTGTAGCTAGATAGATTTAGTCGGCACAGGGACGCCGTGCCCAGTGTCTCGGCGTAGGTAGATATTCTTGAAAATGCTGCCGCAGGCAATGGCGTCATGCAATTAGGGATTTACTTAGCGGCAGGCAGATATTCTTGAAAATGCTGCCGCAGGCAATGGCGTCATGCAATTAGGGATTTACTTAGCGGCAGGCAACGCACTTTGGCTCAGCCAAACTGCTAACCCAGTCAGCAGAAGTCCGTAGTTGCCTAGCGGAGAGACTGCGTAGCAAAGAGGTCCACGCGAGCACGGAGGTATGAGCCAGGGAAAGATGCAGACGCGGATCCTGTCACTGAACTTCACTGGACATAATGAAAGGCTCAGTTTCGCAGACAAGTGATCCCATTTTCTCTTGACGTATAATTCAATAGTTGTCAAGCCCGTAGCAGACTTCTGATGGATCCTGTCAACTTGCTGCATACAGAAAACGTCAGAAGTTCAACAACAAGCCAGAGACATGTACAGATCGCGGCGATACGCTGAAGGAGAGTTATAATCTCAGAAAGGTGCGATGCATCCGTGTACATGTACATGACTGATTGTACTCTTGATTATTACGTTGCTAATGTGACTAGAGACGTAGCGATCACTGAAAGCGTACTGCTGCTGCTGCTGCTGCTGCCCTACTGGTATCATGTTTAAGGTCACAGCTTCAGGGCTCGACCAACTCAACCAAGACCTAAAAGTGCAGCACGCGATGTGCCCTGCGTGTTGCGCGTGGTGTCCTGTCGTGTCCGGCGCCACTACCATACACTTGTAGCAGACGTGATTGTGACAGGAACACAATAGTAACCTTACATGTCACCTCGCTGCCTGCCGTACACTGAGTCACGATGTAATTGTATTGATGTTCCCACTAGCGTGAACAAGCAACAGCACACCACCGCCACTGCCACCACTCCCTCTACCTACCTCCCAACTTTGACCCTTTCGTGCGAACGCCAAGCCACGGACGACCACGGCGATGATGCTCGCCTAGGTTATAACGTCAAACGATCCTCGCAGGATCGCCACTTCTGCCAACGCAAAGCAGAGACCACTTTGGAGCTTTTCGTCCCAGTATAGTTTTCGTCAAGTTAGTTAATTTCTTTTTAAAGCGTCGCGGCCAAGAACAGCGCGAAAGGTATGGAGATATCACGGTATCTGCGAAGGAAACGTCCCTTTACCGTTGTTCTTCACAGGCTTCTGCACCCGATTTTTGTAACATGAAAAACATTAGATACAGGATAACGTTAGGATCCGTTTGAGACACTCTATAGATGTCGGGTATCGATGCCCTTCAAATGCCTAATGCTCGTAATAGTATCGGGCCTCAGGCAATCTGAATATTGCGTAGGGCCGTGAAACTTGGAGTTGTAACTAAACTGTATAGCTGTCCTCTCCTCCTGCTGTGTGTGCGGGTGTAAGGAGTCCACCCCATGGTGGTGATCAGTCTTCAAAAGGTGGGAGGCTTGTGTACTGTCATCATCCTGAAGTCGGATATAGACACCGAATGTGTTCTTGTCACGAGCGAATGGGACCACTAGCCTCCCTCTCATGGCTTGTACTAGTATTCGAGCCAAGTATTGTGACGGTCACTGTGTACTCTGTCTTCTTTGACCATACCGCACAGCATGTATCGATCCATTCTTCTTCTGGCTCTTGTTGGTGCCGCGTTCGCGGAGAACGAGATTGTGGAGAACGAGTTGGTGGAGGAAGTCATCTTCGCACTACCCCACGTAAGTACATTTCTATCTAGCTCTGAGCTATGTCTCAGGATAGGAGATTATGATCTTGGTCTTGGGCATTCGTGTTACTACTCAAACCCTTCATTGGAAAGAACACAAAGATGGAATAGCAAAAAGTTATTAGTTGTACTGCTTACACCAAAGCACTTCCAAGTACTAATCCGGGGGAGTAGTCATGCGTCGTGGGGCCAGAGCAGCTTGCCGTGAAACTAGTAATAACATTAAGCCTTACTCTAACGTTACATGAAAATATGGGTCAATGAATATTCAAGTGCTTTAAGTTGAAGTACAGTCATGTACATGTACATGCATTCTGTCATGCTACGAGCACTTTGAACTACTTTCCCCTGAAATCATGAAAGCGGGTGGCCACTATTGACGTCGCTACCTTGGCTTAGGATCTACAAAATCATGAAAGTGTTGTACTTGTAGCCTTTCTAGGATTTTCCGGACGAGCGTGCTGCTCTAGCTCTGTGGTCTGGTGATTGACTTTGTGCACGTGGACTTGGCATTATAATAATACTAGGGAGTCGTAAAATACCGGTATTTTACGACTCCCTGATGATAGTGATATCTACGAGTACGAGTACTGCCCTTGATTGATGGCTGTTTTTATCTTCTTTTTCCCTTGATTGCTCACGCAGTCATATCATGCATGGCTTTTCACTCCATCCAGTGATCATGGTGACATGACTCTAATGATCTTTTTTTGTGTGCTTCTGCTTCCCGGTACGTACAGGACGAGAGCACTGTTATTATCGTTGCTGAGAATCTCCTCCCTGCACGTAAGCTCTCTGTCGATTGTGAGCGTGTTTGGATCCTGCGCGCTTTCAGACAGCACACGGCCAAGGGTCAGGCGTTGAAGCAGCCGGTGCAGCTGAGCTGAGCTGCTGAAATTCCCTTTGCAGATTTTGCGCCGTATATTTCCACAATTAGTTATCTGTAGATTTTGTCGAGACTTGAGAGTACAGTTGCTTTCTAAAGATTTAAGTATTGCATGTCTATAGACAAAGTCGAAGGCGTCGTGATGCATAGCTGACTTGAATATCTCGTTGGCTACTCTAATTCAGTAATGCAGTTGTCATCTGCTGTGTCACCAACCAACTGTGGTTCGTAGCGAGCTGGTTACTAGTGAAGCTTGTCGTGCAGTGGAATGAATAATGTCGCAATTTCTGAGGTAATTGGAGCATAACTTGAGCTCGTTCTGGCTATGTGTTTACTAAGCCGTTGCAAGCTGTGCTGGGAATAATAACCGAGGCGAGAATTTGTCCTTGTCACGAGGCTTTGCATTTTTGTGGTTTTGTCCGCTATTCGCTAGATCCCTGTGACTATGAAACCTGCGAGCCCGATTTTGTCTGTGAACTGGATCAATCTGCACTGCCTGCCATCAAGCCGCTATGCCGTTCTCTGACAGGTACAGTGGACGTGCCAGAGAGAAATCCTGTTGCTTCGACTTAGAGCGTTTGCTGGGCAGCCACTCTAGCAGCGGCAGGCTGGTATACACTACAGGGCTGGTCAGTGAAATGCGATCGCGCGAATCAAGTTTGTGCTGCCCTGCACCAGTACACATCCCAGTGTAGCAGTACTGTCTGTGTTCGCAGGTCTAGGGCTGCACAGCGGCCAGCGTGACTCGCTTGGTCGGATTTCATACAGCAGCACTGTAGAAGTAGTCGCGGGTGGGTGGGGTGGTGGTGGTGGTGGTGGTGGTGGTGGTGGGGGTGGGGGGGGGGGGGGGGTGGGTGGTGGTGGTGGGGGGGGGGGGGTGCAGATCAAACCCATTTACCACCATGGTTCCCATGACCTCAACAACCCCATCAGTGGAGGGGGAGGAGTTGGTCGGTGGCGAGTGTATTCTGGAGTGATGGAGTCCTAGATCGAAGTGTAATAGCCGAGCGTGAAGCTAGCATCTCTTCGTCGCCTTGCCTTGCTTTGAATTAAAATTTATTTTCAGTTTCTACGTGAGGGGAATGAATGATAACCCTGTTCTAAAGTAGGTGAGTGGATGCCAGTTGAGGATGGCTTATTGGTGCCCGACCAGTCACGCCTTTGGGTCAATTTGTCGGGCACCAACAAGCCGTATTGCCTTTCCTCCCTGCCATGCAGAGAGTTACTAACTACAGTGGTGCTCAATGAAATTCGATCGAGTGAGTCAAGTATGCGCTGTGCAGCCCTAGACTACTGCAAACACTACTCTCATGTGGTTGGTCTAGTGGTTAGGATTCGGCGCTCTCACCGCCGCGGCCTGGGTTTTCGATTCCCGGTGTGAGAACGGCAATGTTAAAATACTCGCGGCACGTACGCAGGCACAACAGAAGTCAAAGTTCTTGGTTCGCACTAGGGACTCGAGATGATGATATTGAAATGATGAGATTGAGAGCGAGAAAGGATGAGACCCGAGGTTATGAAGGGCCTGGGTAGCTATGGCAATGAATTTATGAGAGCGCAAATGCAGCTACCCAGGCCGAACGAAATATACGGGAATGCGGGAAAGCGAGGGGAGAGTGCGGGAGCAAGAAGTTGTAGCGTATTCGAGAAGCGGGAATGGGAAAGGGTGCATGCAGTAATGTGTGTATGAGTGTGTGTGTACGTGCATATATGGGTGAGAGGTCAATGGTGTGTGAGTGCGTGCATACATGGAATCGTGAAACTAACAGTATGAACTGGTGCAGGGCACAAACGTGATTCTCGCGATCGGATTTCATTGAGCGGCACTGCACCTGTAGTATAGGAGTATGTTTAGCGTGTGTGTTGACTTGTATATGCAGTCACTGTTCGCTAGCCCCAGCCTCATGTACTATTCTGTATCTGTATGCATTGCTCTTTGTACAGAGGCCATTGCCGAACCGGGTCACACCCAGCTCTGTTTGAAGACGCAGCGTACTGACAATGTCCAGGCGGAGAAACCTGGCGACGAGTATACGTACCAATGCCAGTGCATGGAGCAGTGTCCGGAGCCCAGAACTGACGAAGAGGTGTGTGGAGACGATGGTCATACGTATCCCAGCCACTGTCACTTGCACCGCGAGGCCTGCAGAGCCAATCGTGCTATCCGCATCCTCCATAGAGGATCCTGCCTGCGTGAGTGTCTTATAGGAAATACTTCTTATCATGGCGGTCAATTGTTGGCCGACAACGCTTGGTTTCACCAGATGTTTAAGCCGCTAGCTTGTGACCATGTTTATAACGTTACAAGTTGCATGTGAACAACTAGCCAGCCCAGAATTAGAGACAAGAAAGAACATAGACTCAAGACCCTTGCTTTGCTATTCACCAAGTGATCATTGTACCACTCATGATATACAGTCAACTTCGCTAATAACGACTGCGGATATAACGACAATTCACGAATAGCGACGTAATTTCCATGCCCATAGCGAAGTCCCATCCCACTGTAATACATATAATGAGACTTCGGGTATAACGACACTTCGCGAATAGCGACACCTTTTTGATGCCCCGCCGAGTGTTGTTATAAGCGAAGTTGACTGTATCACTAGGTGATGTCGTACCCCTTTGCCAAAGCTGTAGGAAATACTGTGCAGCGTGGGAGTGGATTATTTGTTTGGCATCTGCGTGGATGTTTTTCACGGAATAATAATATGTATTGCACACTGCGAGTTGTGCATGAAATCTCTCGCATTTGTACCCATTGTAAAATTTTAGCGCCGTTGTAGGAACTGCGTCTCCATAGCCGATTGTCGTGCACACTGTATTACCCAGACTCAATTATGTTCTGCTGTTTGCTTCACGTATCTCCATGCTGCAGCTGCTGAGAATGACAACTGCCCGATTTTGGAAGTCGACGCTCAGCAAGAGGACTCTGCAGCCTATCTGAGCTGTAAAGACCCGCGGGAAATTTGTGACGCCAAGTGGATGGTTGGTCCGCCAAAGCTTCTCATCCCAGCTCAGTCCACCGAGCGCTACACTGTGCGTCGTCGTCCGACTGGCTACGGTTCCTCCATTCTCATCACTCAGGTGGAACCGGAGGACGAGAACCGATTCAAGTGTGCTTGCTCCGACCGACCTGAATGCCCATTCCGGGTGGCCAGACTTCACGAGCCAGGACATGTTGAGCCAGGTATGTAGTACATAAATCTGCAACTAGCATACATAGATCTGCTAGTAGCAGTGGGGAATTTTCGCTTTGCTGCCACGGTAACCAACATAGCACCCAGAAAATGCGTTGAATCGGTTGTGCGTAGCACTACGTATGCAATGCTATGCATGCACGGTTCTGTGCGTCAGAACTGGTCAAATGCTGGAAGTCCCCGGAATAGTATAGATGTGTTTGTAGTTACTGGTCTTCTTCATGTTCACCATGCGGCAGTGTGGCAAAGACAACTGCAGAAACACCAAGGCCACTGTAGCGGCTATGATTTAGCACTGGCGCACTGGCAAATACTAAACAGGTGGAGAAAGAAACCTAGGGCAGTGCATGACCTAGTGCCGGCAGGTCCGTCCAGGGCAGTGCGTGGCCTAGTCACGGTTGGCAGGTTCGTCCAGGGCAGTGCGTGGCCTAGTCACGGTTGGCAGGTCCGTCCAGGGCAGTCCGTGGCCTAGTCACGGTTGGCAGGTCCGTCTAGGCCTTCACAGTACCGTGCTTGGACTTGCTCGCACAATCGGGGTTTTGTTGAATATCCTTAGGGCAGCAGCCATGTTTCTAGTGTGAGGTGATGTACAGTGTTGCTGAATGAAATCCAGTCGCGTCACTCAAGAACGCGCCGGGCGTTGCGCAGCCATAGACCTGCGAGCACTGGGCTACGAAATGATGCAAGGCGCAAACTTGAATGACTCATCTGGATTTCATCGACCAGCACTGTACAAGTCCGCCCAGCATCTGCCCTGTGTCCTTCGAGAGGTCCCGTGTTTGCTGACGAGCAGAACCCGGCAGGCCAGTAGTTTGTGTTTTCAGCAGTAATATCCTGTGAGCACAGCCTTAAAGACGAGTGAGATACATGTAACCCGTTTCTGCGCTTCTGCCTCCTCCTGTGATTTCTGTATTGTAGAGGCAACCTGCTTTGATATTGTCCACTCTACGCATGAGCACCTCCTCTTCGATGCTGAGAGTCCAGAAGCAGACTTCCGCCACTGTCAGATTCACAACGTCACTGCCAAGGACATCACATGGATCGACTTCAAGGCCAGCAACGTGCACGCCACAAACTGTTCGTTCGAGACGATTCGCATTGTCAACAGCCACATCACCAACCTGACGCTGGCTAACTTCACGCAGGTTAGACACATTGAGGTGATCAACTCAACGGTGATGAACATCACTTTCCTCAACAGCACACTGCTGAACATGACCTTTGTCAACGTGACTCTACTTAATCACACATTCGTCAACGCGACTGCTTACAACTTCACGTACCTCAACACCACCATCACTAACCATACCTTCCTCAACTCCACCATCTACAACTTCACCTACATCAACTCTACCATCTTCAACAAGACAATGAATTCAACCGTCTTCAAGAACCTAACCCTGATCAACGCTACCATGGTCAATGTGACGATGCTCAACTCCACAATCACCAACCACACTCTCGTTAATGTCACTGCCTTCAACCTTACCAAGTGGAACGTCACCATCAATGGCTCCATCTACAGCAATGTGACATTGAACAACACCATGTGGAAGAACGTCACTTTCCTTTATAACATCAGCATCCCACTGTTCAACAACCTGACCAACTTCACTCTGTACAATGCCACATTCTACAATGTCAGCCTGCAGTCGATCAATGCCACCAACTTCACTTTCATCAACAGCACATTCTACAATGTCAGCATGATCAACGCAAGCCTTGTGAACTACACGATGTACAACGTGTCTGCTCACAACTACAGCATGATCAACGTATCCGCTCTCAACTTTACCAAGTGGAACGTCACCATCAATGGCTCCATTTACAACAATGTCACCTTGAACAACACTATGTGGAAGAACGTCACTTTCCTCAACAACATCAGCATCCCACTGTTCAACAACCTGACCAACTTCACTCTGTACAATGCCACATTCTACAATGTCAGCCTGCAGTCGATCAATGCCACCAACTTCACTTTCATCAACAGCACATTCTACAATGTCAGCATGATCAACGCAAGCCTTGTGAACTACACGATGTACAACGTGTCTGCTCACAACTACAGCATGATCAACGTATCCGCTCTCAACTTTACCAAGTGGAACGTCACCATCAATGGCTCCATTTACAACAATGTCACCTTGAACAACACAATGTGGAAGAACGTCACTTTCCTCAACAACATCAGCATCCCACTGTTCAACAACCTGACCAACTTCACCCTGTACAACGCTACATTCTACAATGTCAGCCTACAGTCCATTAACGCCACCAACTTCACCTTCATCAACAGCACATTCTACAATGTCAGCATCATCAACGCGAGCCTTGTGAACTACACCATGTACAACGTGTCAGCTCACAACTACAGCATGGTCAATGTGTCCGCTTTCAACCTGACCAAGTGGAACGTCACCATCAATGGCTCCATCTACAGCAATGTGACATTGAACAACACCATGTGGAGGAACGTCACCTTCTTGAACAACATCAGCATCCCACTGTTCAACAACCTGACCAACTTCACCCTGTACAATGCCACGTTCTACAATGTCAGCCTGCAGTCGATCAATGCCACCAACTTCACCTTCATCAACAGCACATTCTACAATGTCAGCATGATCAACGCAAGCCTGGTAAACTACACAATGTACAATGTGTCTGCTCACAACTACAGCATGGTCAATGTATCTGCTTTCAACCTGACCAAGTGGAACGTCACCATCAATGGCTCCATCTACAGCAATGTGACATTGAACAACACCATGTGGAAGAACGTCACTTTCCTGAACAACATCAGCGGGGACATTTTTGAGAGGTGCATGTGCCCCCCGTGCCCATTGCCAAGCACGCGCCTGATCTCACTGTTCAACAATCTGACCAACTTCACTCTGTACAACGCTACATTCTACAATGTCAGCATGCAGTCCATTAACGCCACCAACTTCACCTTCATCAACAGCACATTCTACAACGTCAGCATCATCAACGCGAGCCTTGTGAACTACACCATGTACAACGTGTCAGCTCATAACTACAGCATGGTCAATGTGTCGGCTTTCAACCTGACCAAGTGGAACGTCACCATCAATGGCTCCATCTACAGCAATGTGACATTGAACAACACCATGTGGAAGAACGTCACCTTCTTGAACAACATCAGCATCCCACTGTTCAACAACCTGACCAACTTCACCCTGTACAATGCTACATTCTACAATGTCAGCCTGCAGTCGATCAATGCTACCAACTTCACCTTCATCAACAGCACATTCTACAATGTCAGCATGATCAATGCGAGTCTCGTAAACTACACAATGTACAACGTGTCAGCTCACAACTACAGCATGGTCAATGTGTCGGCTTTCAACCTGACCAAGTGGAACGTTACCATCAATGGCTCCATCTACAAGAATGTGACATTGAACAACACCATGTGGAAGAACGTCACTTTCCTGAACAACATCAGCATCCCACTGTTCAACAACCTGACCAACTTCACCCTATACAACGCTACATTCTACAATGTCAGCCTGCAGTCCATTAACGCCACTAACTTCACCTTCATCAATAGCACATTCTACAATGTCAGCATGATCAACGCAAGCCTCGTGAACTACACCATGTACAACGTCACGGCGTACAATTATTCGCTCTCAAACTTGACCGCGGAGAACTTCACCATGTTCAACACATCCGTTCTGAATGCCATGTTCTACAATGTGTCTGCTATGAACTTCACCATTGCCAATAGCTCACTTTTCCACTGGGTTGTCAGCAACTTCAGTTCCCATGTCTTCGAGCTGCACAACATCTCTGTGATCAACGCAAAGTTTTACAATATGACTCTGCTCCGTGCCAAGTACAGGAACGTGTCGTTTGTCAACGTCTCGCTGACCGAGAAGTTGATGGTCAACTCGAGTATGGTGAACGTGTCCCTCTCGAACGCTCTCTTGTTCAACGTCTCTATGGTGAACTTCACCAGTGCCAACTACAGCATCATGAATGCTCAGCTCACAAATTACACGCTTATCAACAGCGCATCGTTCAACATGACGATGAGCAGGTGCCTGGTGAAACTCTTCATCATGATCAACACCATTGACCTGGCGCCGCAGTTTGTGAATGTCTCTATGGGCCAGACCTACTTCAATAACGTCACATGGACCGGTGCCAGATGGCCAGTTGAGCTCGTGAACGATTTCTCCTTCATCTACAGGAAGGACTGCCAGCAGGATAGCGAGAGTTTCCATGCCACTCCGTACATAGAGAATGTCGGCGTGTTCAACTCCTCGTTCGAGTACACGCGTCTGGAACATGCAGCGGTGAAGAACGTTTCGCTGCAAATGATGCTGGTGAACAATTCTATCATTCACCAGAGCACGGTGTCCAATTTGGGAGTTGGCATGACCACATTCATGCATTCCTACATCTTCGATACTTGGGTGTCGATGGCGTACTTTGAATCGAACTTCTTTGACACCATCTATCACTACATGCTTCACGCTATGGACGTATTCTGGGAACCACCCAACCCGATGCAGGCCATCCATGAACTAGCGTCAGCCGTCTTCCCAGAGTGGACCATCACTCACATTCCTATCAGAGGTAAGCACGAGACTTTGTGAATGTGTTGCCCAATGGTCATTTTCATGTCTGCTGGCCGTACGTTGCCAGCTGGCCCCTCCCTTTGGTGTGTTGGGCGTTGAAACTGTGTGATATGGGTGTATGAAGACAGAAACATAGCTGTCCCTAGTAGAACACTGCGCTCGGGATACGGGAGTGATTGAAAAAACGAGGGCTAGAGAAAACTGAGAATATAAGAATCCCGACAGAGTTCCGGATAAACTAATTCTCACCCAACGGGAGCAGGTTTTCATTTTTCAACTTTTCACGGGCCACGTCCCAGTGGAGTTCGTGTTATTCGTGCAGTTCTGAAAGCTCTGCAATGTGACCCAGTGTCGGTGTAAGGCCTGGAGCGATTGCTAGGTACCTCGTACAAATATTCTATTCCAAATTCTAACTAGTCTTGTGCAGTAAAAGCTGGTGTAAGCGACCTCTGGGTTTAGCGACCTCTGGGTTTAGCGACCAACTGCTCTTAACGACCGTTTTTCCATGCACCGACACTTCTAGACACACACTGTGGGACCTGGTTCTAAAGACCACCTGGCTTTTACGACCGCTTTTGCTTGCACCGTGGGGTGGTCGCTTAAACCAGGTTTTACTGTACTTGTGTATGTGTGTGTGTTTATCATGAGGAATATTCCAGAAAGTGTAGACAATCCAATGCCCATGTTTACTTATTTAGTTGCTGGCTAAGTAATGGGACGTCATTTCTCTCAGTGCAAGTGTACATTATCTAGTAAAAGAGAATTGTTGTTGTGTTCATTTTAATTCGCAAACCAAACGGGCAGATCCGCCCAATGAAAAGGTGGCGAATGCAGATAGAAAGCAGTAATTGAATGCGCCTGCCATCAGCCTTATTGGTCATTGTATGATCTCTTTGTCTCTGTGTGTTTGTGCGTGTGCGTGTGTGTGTGTGTGTGTGTGTGTGTGTGCGTCTCTCTCTCTCTCTCTCTCTCTCTCTCTCTCTCTCTCTCTCTCGTGCAATGTTTGCGGTGTAGAAATTCCCTGCTACTGATCCAACGGAGGTAGTCGGCTAAGGACTCAACTTGCAAGGCAGCTATCTTTGGGTACACGTCTTACTCATCGCTTTCAGTTTCAGTTCTTACCTGCTCTATGAAGTTCTTTTATAGGAGTCCTCCCACCTCGGACAAGATAGTTCCGAACTTTCCATAGCGTGCCCCAAACTGGCTTGAGCATGTCGTTATCTTTGCCTGGCTTTCTTTTCTATACGTCCTACCTTTTTTCATTTCTGGCTTCCCCGCCAATTCTGTCAATAACTCATACATTATTATGGGAATCCTTTGAAGCAACCAGCTGGAATTGAAGCTTTCTGCAATAGGTGTGAGAATCCAGACGAGATATTCCTTAAAACAGAGCAAGAACAGCTCGAATATTTCCAGTGTATGCAGCGTATGTGGGTGCATGCAGGCCCGGTTGAATGTGCTGTGCTGAAATTTTGGTGTGTTGGATCTCTCTGCTGGTTCAAGTCGGGCATATCTTTGCCTGAATGGCGAGTGTTGACCAACCGCCATGAAACGTGCAGTTGCGTAGGCAGCAAGTATCCTGTGACAGTTTGTACCAGTTTGCCGTTCCTGCATACCCGCATAGGTGCATGGTCCACCTGCGATAATCCCGGGTGCTGATTGCTGTGATAAGGCACACTAGTCGGGCCACTGGAGCGCAGACTCCTCTTCATGTGTACGGTTCCTGGTGCACTGCAGACAAATGTGTGTAGGTGTGTGTGTGTAGGGGGGGGGGGGGTGCTAAAGGATGAAACAAGCAGATCATAACGTGGACATCGTGATAGAATAGGATCATTCTCCAATCCAATTTTTAAAAGACGGACACATCTGCTGTTCCACCTGAAGGGGCAACGGTGGAGCTCAGGCTGTGGTCCAATGCATGGGTACAGTTCAGCAGGATTTTGAAGTACCCAGGGGCTCGAGCTGCAAAGCATTAATTCATGGAAAAAGGGGTTGTTTGGTCCTGGATGAAAGAAGTATCCCATAAAATAAAATGGTTTTTATGTGCAAAACCCCTTGTCACAATTATTTTAAATTTCAACCGCTAAACTATTGACTGTTGGTCCCATTCATTTCACTTTTCTTTCCGGCCTATTTTTTTGTATTGGTATTGCATTGTATTTTATTATTTTACTTGGGCATTCCCAACAGACCCTACAAAAAAAGGGTGCCCAAGATGAATGAATTTGTTAAGTTCCTGGCGAAATGAATTAGGGATAATTTGTGCGAAGGGATTCGGGAAGCGCATTAAAGCGGTCAGCACCAAGGAATGAAATAGATTTGTATCCAGCTTGAGCTTGCACAATGGGTAAAGAAAGGGAATAACTGACTTGGCCGCGGGTGACTCTATCTGTGTGACCGCAGTCACGGCGAAGGGAGAACATGTCAGATAGGCCTTGACAGATTATGCTAGCATAATTTTTCGCATAATTCCAACCAAAATCGAATAATCGCATAATTCGAGGCAAATTGCATACGAATCGCATAAAATTGGAATAATCCGCCTGTTCGCATCAAATTCCATACAGTTGTACATGTTCTACAAGTACAAGTACAAGTAGATGCACCACAAAGTCGTAGGTTTACGACTCCCTTGAGAACATGTCCAGTCCACTACAATCAGTGACGGTCGTAGCTAGGTCGGACGGTGCGTAACAGCAGCGTTGACCCCGTTGAACTTTTGCTACTACAGTACAACGCCCTCTACAAAAAAATTCCCCTGTTATTTTGCACAGAACCATTATACATTAGCAGCATATGTGAGCATAATGCGGCATAATAATTATGATAACTTTTAGCATAAAAATAGCATAAATCTGTAATTTTTTCAGCAATGCGAAAAGCATAATTTCACGAAAAATATTAGCATAATCTGTCAAGTCCTAATGTCAGAGAGGAGTGAACTGCAGATATTGTGGATGCAACGGAACACGAAGAATATGGACTTAGTATGATATCTTTTGTCTAAGCTAATTATGTGGTACCGCTGAAGCAAGTATGATGTCCGCGTGGACGTGTCATGCTCAAATATGCATCTAAGTGCTCTCTTACTTATGCGTAGCAGCTGATCTCTCAGGTTGTCATCGAGGCAGTGGACGTAGGCAGTGCTGGCGTACTGCTATTCTCCTATTCAGTATTCCTGGTAGCTGGGTGGCCGATGTTTCCCCACTGACTACTGCTGAACAGTTCCGATAACAGGCACTGCAATGATTATGTTGCAGGCGTCTCTTTCGCGCGAGGTCCTATAGCTTAGTTACCATGGTTACTGGAATTTCCTACACTCATGTTCTACTACAGTAACAGTGCTGGCAACTGAAATCCGACCCCCCTGGGCGGCGTGCCGCGCCGCCCTGGGGGGGTCGGATTTCAGTTGCCAGCACTGTAGTTGAGGTGCCTATGTAATTTTGTCATTCATCACCCGATGATGGGCCAAAAAATGTTGAGTCACCTCCACCATTACCATGATTAGTATATAATATAACCTAACCAGTTGATTATATGGGAAATATAAACCTGTATACAAACCGAGGCGAAGCCGAGGTTTGTATATTGGTTTATATTTCCCATATAATCAACTGAGTAGGTTATATTATGCTTATACTGAGCTGATATACAAACTCCCCTCTCCCCCACAAGGGTAGAGATTGGAATTCCAACCCACACCCCAACCCACAACCATGGCTCGACGAGTCTTCCTTTCACCAACCTGTGCGGATCAAGTACAAGACTACCACTGACTCTGTGCAGTGCATGCAGTGCTAGTGCAGTACCATCACACACTCTTTGTGACTTCAGTTTAGTACTGAAGTACTACTACTAGTTACATCGGAAGTAACAGCTATGCGCCAAGTAAGTTAGTTTGAACCTCACAGTGCTAGTGACCGTTACCGCGCGCAGATCTCACCGCGGGCTCTGTAAAAGAACCGTTTGCTCATTAGACTTTAGAGACATAGAGTTCGTCTCCTTTCCAAAGACTAAGTAAGAGTAAAATGAATCAGCACGAGCCTGTTGAATCGACTCCCAAACGTTTCTTCTGAGGACGACCACGAATCACGATGCCATTATTCAAGCAGCAGTTTCTAAGAACACTGGCAGTGCCACGGATTATGGCTGCGCATGTTCCGTCCGCTCTGCGAGGGACGCGGAAAGGAGAACATCGATTGGAAAACCATCAGTAGTGAAGTTCCGTCGCCCCTGCTATCTGCATTCTATGTCCATGCAAAAACGCAGGAGGAGCGGCACGCGGGGCTCTTCAGCCGCACGTGTCGAGTGCTGCGCTTGACAGACGGAGTGCTGAAACAGCGAAAGAAGGACAGCCTCGAACGCCAGGTGCAGCACAAGGCACATGTTACAAAGGACGACGTTGTATTCTTCATCGTTGACGGGAAAGAGATCCTGAAGTTGGGACCGTCGTGCATGTCGAAAAACCATCAAGGCGGACTGCAGGTCACTAGTGTAATCCTAAAAAAAAGGAGTTTATATACCAGTTTATACACCAGTTTATATACCAGTTTATATACCAGTTTATATACCAGTTTATATTCTCGTCATCGAAGTACCTGTTATATGCAAAATACAAGTCTGGAGTGTTGTGTGGGGAGAGATGGGAGTTTGTATACAAGCTCAGTATAACCATGATTACACTGCGCTCTTTAGCCGACTAGACGGTAGACCCTCCTGCACACAACCAGCACCACTGCGAGGACACTTCCGTAGACGATATTGATAAACTCCTTCAGACAGCTGTTTCGCTAATACATAACAATCATCATGATCATAGCTCATCAGTGAAGGTAGATGTAGACCAAACTGCTATTACCTTTCCCATACAGTATACTGTACAGTTTCCCATACAGTTTTGTATGTGGAAACCCTATAGCAGTTTGGTCTATATTTTTAATCATTCAACGTCTACCTTCACTGATGAGCTATGTATTAGCGAAACAGCTGTCTGAAGGAGTTTATCAATATCGTCTACGGAAGTGTCCTCGCAGTGGTGCTGGTTGTGTGCAGGAGGGTCTAGTCGGCTAAAGAGCGCAGTGTAATGGTGGAGGTGGCTCAACATTTTCTTCAATGGCCGAGAGCTTTGTCGCACCCGGTAATAGGATGATGGGCCAGGTCCGAAAATTTGGTGTACCGCTAATGTAAATTTGAATCTGAATCGCAGTGAAGAGACCGTTTTTGGAGTTTGGAGTTGACTACAGTCCATTTCAAAACTATAGACGCGTACCTAGGCAAAAACCGTTATGCCAGCATCTATACCACATAAAATCTGTGATCACTTTGTGCATAAATTTTTCCAAATTGGGCGTCTGTTATCCAATCCTTTAGAAACTATATGAGAGTAATTGTGGAGCGATCCTGAGCAATATTCCGAAAACTATTCTCAAAAAGTTCCAGCCAAATTTTAAATATTTCAAAAACCCTACGCGTCTATAGTTTTGAAATGCACTGTAGTGAAGTTTCCTATTTGCGTAAATGGCTGCGTTGGAGTTTCGTTTGCGGACTTTCGCTATAATTATTATTAGTATATTCGTTATATATAGGGGGCACGAAATAACTAAAGTTTGTACCAAACTAAGTTTTTTTTCTTAACGTTCGGGGTGACAGACCTCGACCAAAAACGAAATTTAGTACGTAAGGGGCCGTCCGTAAATATCGATGTTTTTTTAGAGACGATATTGGTGCTTCTCTCCCTTGACCCCCCCCCCCCTCCCCCCAGAAGACGCACATGTACATCTAGATCATGGAATCAATATTTTGGATGCTCATTTTTTTCCTTTTTTTGTCAATAATATGAACCCAAGATGGCAAGTTTGCAGTATTTATAATTATGGTCTAATTGAGAAGGAGAGCATTATGACTTTTTTGGTCGCCCTCGAGAACACTTGTGGCCAGCAGCCTTCTTGTGCTGCATTAGCCCATAGTAGGTGGTGAAGGCTAAGCCACAAGTAGAAGCACCATCCAAATACGAGCACACATGCTCCTTCTGCTGCCTGGATGTAGTGCCTTCACTGCTATGACTCAGGCGGTTGTGGCGAAGCTTATCAGCCGCTGACAAGAAGACATACTTGCAGTGCTCGCATCGCTCCGTTGTACCATTCTCAGCGTCTGTGCCAGCTTGGCGATGGATAAACTGGTCTGCCGGTGCAGCCTTTGCCAAGAGCAAAGTGCCATCCAAGACCCTGAAGACCATCTGCAGGTAGGTCTTGAAGTGCCCAGGATGTTGAGGGTCCGTCTTGAAAAAGGTCTCCTGCAGGCATCGTTCGGCCGATTTCCACAATCAATAGCTCATTCTTTTGCTCTTGAAATTCGCCATGGGCGTACAGCTTCCAATTTTTTATTTTGTTCT